TCGGGGAGCATTTTGAACCTACAGTATACACGTAGTCAATAAGTATCCATATAATTAAAAAAAAATTATAGTAAATATAATTTTAAACAAACTTACAGAAACATATGGAGAGCTAAGATATTGAGAAGGTTTCAATACCCTAATCGGACGACCTGGTTTTGCAACAGGAGGCACGGGTATATGATTTTCCGCATCCACGATGTTGCTGGCAACATTCTTCTTTTTCTTCTTCTACAAAATACATATTAATTTATTTAATATACTTTGAAAAAATATAAAAATTAATATACAAAAAAAAAATTATAACCTCCTTCACGGGTTGTTTTTGTTTTCTACGACCAACATCATCATCCTCGTTTACTCGATTTGAATTCGGTGGACTACCGAATTGTTCGTTCACCGGGCTTGTCATCCGATAACTACCTCCCACATCTTCATTCCCCTACATTTAAAGGAAATATATTTTAACAAATAATTGTTTTACCTCGAAACCTTCGTTAAGAATTGATAGTAAATTTATAAAATGAAATATTTTACCCCAAACGCTGCGTCAAAAAATTCATTATTGTCATCCTGTTTCAATACCCTAACCGGACAACCTGGTTTTGCAACAGGAGGCACGGATATATGATTTTCCGCATCTACGATGTTGCTGGCAACAATCTTCTTTTTCTTCTTCTACAAAATACATATTAATTTATTTAATATACTTTGAAAAAATATAAAAATTAATATACAAAAAAAAATTATAACCTCCTTCACGGGTTGTTTTTGTTTTCTACGACCAACATCATCATCCTCGTTTACTCGATTTGAATTTGGTGGACTACCGAATTGTTCGTTCACCGGGCTTGTCATCCGATAACTACCTCCCACATCTTCATTCCCCTACATTTAAAGGAAAAATAATTTAACAAATAATTATTTTACCTCGAAACCTTCGTTAAGAATTGATAGTAAATTTATAAAATGAAATATTTTACCCCAAACGCTGCGTCAAAAATTTCATTATTGTCATCCCGTTTTTCAAATCCCTCTTTACATTTTATTCCTCGGATTTCTTCCTCCAAGCTTTGAAGTCTTGCCATTATTTCTCGGGCTGTTCTCCTATTAATTCCCACCGTATGAGTTTCTCCGGTGGACTGGGTAGATCGGCTGTTTCCACATGATGGATCAGATGAAGATGATCCCTACATAAATTTTTTGATATATCAATAATAGTTGAAAATTTTTAATATACTAGATACTACTTTTAGCATTTTACTTACATCTTTTCTAAAGTTGTAGCGTACAGAAGAAGGGACTTCTGGCGATTCAGGATCCAGACTAGTAATATATGTCAAGTAATGTGGAGTAGATGACTCGACATCTGAGGCAATCATCTTTCTTTTCGGTTGATGTGCCTCGTCCTGGTCAACATCGAAAAGATCGCAAACTTTCTCTCATGTTAACCTCCTAAGGTGAAACCACCGCAACATACGAGGATATAAATTGTTTCGTCGTAACGCAGCATTCCCCTGAGCTAGTGGGAACATCTCCCATATCCATATCTTGTAATAAATATACATTAATATATAAGAGTTAGCAATAACTAACAGTGATTATGAAAAAATAAAAACCAAAAAATTTAAAATTATATTATTACCTTCAACGGAATAACAAAACCGGATAGTGTATACACACAAGGTTTTGTGGGATGTTTGGACATATGATCCTCAAATTTCTTAAACATACCTGACAATCTAGGGTATGTTTTACTCCATAGGTAACTCCCCCACGAGAACCTATATTATATGCAAAACTATTAGTTAAACGTATAAAAAATAGTATTTTTTTATAATATTAAATTGATAAATACCTGTTCCATTCATCCAGGTTCTCCACCACCCACATAAATTCCTTCGTGACTTTGTCTTTGGGTTCTTTTCCCAAAAAACCTTGATTGAGGATATATAGCAAAATCGTACGGACAACATCGTCAGCCGATATCTCATTGAACCGTCGGTTCAAGATAAGTAGCTCTAAATCTTCTACAAGTAACGTAGTGTCCGTGCGATACGGGAAGACTCTGGACCGAAATGTATTATCACCGTATCCGTGATTATACATGGTTGAAAATTCGATCCTTGAAGTAGGACAACGGCCCATGTAAAGTCCCGAGACAATACAAAACTCTTCCGGCCCAAATGATAAAGAACGTCTAGAAAACATGAAATGTAGACGCTCAGCTGCATCACTTTCAGGGGTAGGACGCAGCATGTGAAGTAATAGGCCATGAATAAGTAGTCCGTCTCCGGACTGAGCCGGTAGATCCAAGAGGTAACCAAAGCTAGTCCTTGAAAATATCTCTCGAACCGGCCCATTCAACGGACTCAAAACTTCATGCAACTTGTGACATGAAGCTTTCACAGATATGTTGCATGTCATCTTTTTGTTAGGAAGCTACAAAATAAATAAAAAATAAAGTTAAATAAGGTTTTATAAAAAAAAAATTGTGTTGGAGTATCACACAATAAAACAGTTAAACATTTCATATAATCTATTTACTTTCTATAAAATACCAAAGTAAATTATTTTACACAAAATTTTGTCTTTTCTATACTACTTGTATACAAAAAAATAGCATTATACTTTAAAAATGGTGTGACAATAACATATTTTATAACAAACCCGAAACTACCAAAACACAATGTTATTTTATCAATACAGTATACTACAAAGTATCTAAACATTATACACATAAAAACTTCTTCAAATAGATAGTACATTGCTATTGTATGTTATAATTGAGACAGAAAATAACATCATTTTTAACAACATGCAAAACATTGAATCATAAGATACATACAAGGGGATACAATCGTTACAAATACGTTTAAACAAATTTTTTTATTAAGAAAATTGAAAAAAAATATATATATATAAAACCATATATTTTATGAAACCTACGATTTTTTTTTTCCAAACAAAAATCTAAAATACATACAAGGGGATACAAATGTTTATTGGCTATTAAATTTTTTTTAATAAAAAAAAACGGTTTTTTTGTGAAACCTACGGTGTACAAGTGTTTACTGCACAAACTGTGCAGTAAATACTTGTACACCGTAGGTTTCTAAAAAACCTACGGTTTCCCTTTTTTTTTTTAAAAAAAAAATTATACCAAAACAAAATACATCCAATTCCTATTCTATTGATACCATTTTTTTTTAAAAAAACGAAAAAAAAAATGTCCGTACGGTTTCATATGAAACCTACGGTGTACAAGTCGACACTGCACAAACAGTGCATTGGGCACTTGTACACCGTAGGTTTCATATGAAACCTACGGTTTTATATTATTTTTTTTCAATTTTTTTCAAAAAAAAATTTATCCCTATAATCAAACCTACTCCTAATCACAAACACGATAAAAATTTTAAGAAAAGTAGACAAACCTGGTTGTTCTTCGGGTGTTCCATTGAGAGAAAAACGTAGCCAAACAAAAGAAAACAATAGGAAAATGACCTAATCTGAAAAAAAAATTATTATATACTTTGGGCTAATGGGCCACGAAAAAGTAAACGGCCCCTTGAAACAGTAGCCCATTAGGGGAAAAGAGTAGTCAACGGGCGTTGACCGTAGTCCATCAAAAGTTGACTACTCTTTTGTGGGCTATTTTTGGCTAAGTGAGTTTTTTTGACTATTTTTTGATAAGTAATTAAAAAAAATGGCTAGTTTTGTATTTTTCTCATAATCTAAAGTTCAATTGTTTACATTATAACTGGTAGTTTTTAAGATCCTAATGTTTTATAAAAAGAAAAAAAACAATCTATCACCAATCTATAACATTAACCCAACAATATATCATAATCATAATAAATATATAATTAGTCTTTTTACAAAGTCATTATTGATGACAGTTACACAGGTAAAAAACAAAAACGAGAAAGCGTAATAGTGGAAAACACGCCTGTGGGTTGTGGTAATGAAAAAAAAAGAATCACGCCCAGTGGGACTCGAACCCACAATCGCCTGATTAGAAGTCAGACGCCTTATCCATTAGGCCATGGGCGCCTGTTGCTTCGTTCTACTTCATTTTCATCTATTATCATGAGTTTTCATGTTTTTTTTCCTCATAAAGTAATTGCTAATATTTAGAAGAAATTACTGAATTGGTCATACGACCTACTAAAATTTCGTATTTGGTCCTTAATTTTTTTTTGCACTCAAAACTTTTGATTTTGTTACATCTTTAGTCTTTGCCAAATGTAAAAAGACTATACTTCCATATTTTTTGTCCTATTTTATTTATTTATCATTTAAAATTTTCAAAAATAAAATGGGGCCACCCCTTTACCCCCATCAGCTTAATCGATTTCACCCCTTCTAAACTCTTCCTCTCATTCTTCCTCTCTTCTCTAAACCTAGAACCCAAAATGCCGATAACCTTTGCCCCATCCAGGGGCGGCTCAACCTTATATTTTTCTAAGCAAGGACATAGGGCCCTCAATTTTAAAAGGCTTCATATTCTCCAAACTCAACCTAATATTAATATATCTTTAATCTCAATTAGTCCATTACTAATAGTCCAATAGGCCTTATATGTTTGTTCATTTGTAGTTATCTTGGTGATTCACACAAAAAAAAACATATACATAATAAAAAAAATAATTAACTCTGCTATTTATAAACTTTTTAGTTTATTATTAACGGTTCCAAGCTTAGATAAAGGATGAAGGTTTATAACGTTAAGTATAGTAAATTCCAAATGACCTAATATTTTTGGTTCACTTAGAGCCCTCACACTGCCAGAGCTGGCCCCACTGTAGCTTTTTCGTCGATAACCTCTTAATCATCGGAGGCCTAGATTTGTCGGCTACCTCTGCACGACTAGAGACCTCTCCTTTCCGTATACAACAGCTTAGGGATCCACCAGAGACCTAGATTTGTCGATAACCTTTGAGTTTGCTGAGATTTTTATGTGATTGCAGTTGTATCTCCGGTGGTTGGTGGTAAGAATGAGGATGGTGACTAGTGAGAAGGGATGGTCGGAGATGGGATCCGGCGAGTGGAGGTCATCGAAATTTGTTGTGGGAAGGATCTGTTGTCTTGTTGACGGTGGAGATCTCATTGCTTCTGTTGAACTGTGGTTTCAAGAGAGGAAGATGGACAAATTTCCAGCAATGGACCGATTCTTGAGGATTTTCGACAAAGGTAGAGAAATAACATTAACAAGAACATGGGAAGTGTCTGGATATACTCGATTACCCACCACTTCTTAAACTTCCATCGATACAGGGTAGATACGAGGGTCCAAATTTGCTTGATTATCCTTCTTCCTAAATCTTATTGTGAATCTTCTTATGAATGTAGTGCATGTGTTAAATGGGTAAGAAATGGTGAGGAGTAACCTATGTTTGGTGTTTAATCGTCGGAGGTTGGAGGTAAGGGTGGGGCCAGAATATGTGGGTGGAGATGGTGCCAAAATATTTGTGTGGTGTCCGATTGAACTGATGAATGGGTGGGGGTAAAGGGGTTGTCCAATTTTATTTTTCAAAATTTTAAATGATAAATAAATGAAAAAAGAAAATAGAAAAGGACAGTATTGTCTTTTTATATGGACTAAAGACGTAACAAAATCAAAACTTAGGGATGGTACGAGTGCAAAAAAGAAGATAGGGACCAAAAGTGAAATTTTTGTAAACGATAAGGACAATTTCAGTAATTTGTTCTAATACTTATCATTTGATTAAAAAAAAAAAAAAAAACCTTAGGGATGATTTATATCTAATTATAAACGAAAGAGGAGTGACTTATATATAAGCATGCATGTTTTATATTAAAAATCATGAAAATGACACAGTTGCTCAGTTGGTGTACATGTACCCGATTTCATATTATGAACTCATGTCGATGGATAAGGCCAAAGTCTCAAACTTCCTTTCAATTTTCTTTATCTTGAATCTCTAAAAAACCTACATATTTATAGCTGCATTCATCAATAATAACTCTTATACAATTGCAAGTTTAATTGTTAAATTCCATCAAAAACATATAAAATTTGAAGCCGAAATCTATACGTGTATCTAGAAGTTAAATTAGGAGACCCAAAAAATCTTTTAACTGAGTTCTTTACAATCCAAGAACTTTTAACACTTACTTCAACATCATTTTGTTTCACTAGTGATGAAATTTTGTAGCTTGATACTCATGAAAACATTATATTACCATGGCATTGCATCTCCAATTTCCAAACACGAGTTTAAAACGATTTAAAAGTACATATCACTTAATGATTATCTGCCACTTGTTCATCGGCTAACATCTTAGGCAAAGAGTACTTGACCCGAAGAGAAATCTTTCCCTTTTCCACAACAAGTCTAGCCCCTGTGACAACCCAATACCCCGGGCTATCTTGCGGGCCCCGCGTGATCTCTGTTGTCTCCACAAACTTCAATAGCTTCCGCATCATCTCTGTCGAGCCCACAAACTCCGGTATGTGGAGTGGGGATTCCCATTCATTCCGACCTCCTTGCGGTGCAACCGAGTAGTTCAGAGAAGCGGAGGCGTAAAAAGAGGACTTTTTTGGAGCCGTGATCCCTGACATGTAAATGGGCCCCGTTTACGATTAAGAATATTCTGTTTCCGGACTCGACCGGGGCGGTGCAGACGTAGTCATAGTTTTTCCCCTGGACCTTTTCGTAGTATCTACGGTCGTCGGAATCAGAATTGGAGATTCCGTTTACGGAGTCTTCTAGTTGGAAGAATTTTGGGATGCCGGAGAGGTGCTGGAGATGGATCTCTAATTGATTGTTTCTTTCACGATTGAGGTAAAGCCGGAGGCCCGTTACAGGCATCATACCTACATCAACCTATTTAGAAACAGTAAAATGATCAGAAAGTAATTGGAATTGGAATTAAGTTCCAAGATTAGGAAATTACCTTATTGGTGTTCAAGTAGAGCTTGGGCCCGAAAAAGCTGAACTGTAAAGACGTTGTACTTTGTTGCTCATGTTGTGGATCACTAAGGGACAGCTCACTGAATAAAGGGGCCCATTGTCTCGGTAGCTGGAAGTCCAGAAACTTACAGAGCTCTTCAAATGGAGGTTTATCTGTAAACAACCTTAAACTAATAATAATTTCAACTGAAATCGACGTAATCTGGGAAGAAGGGTAAAATGGTCATTTTCTCACAGCATAAATAGAGATTTATGGCATGACTTAAGTATCCACTTCCCAAAACACCATTAAGCAAAGAGGTTATTGGAATGAAGGACATTGTGATCACATCTGGTTCTGATTGTACTGTATGTAACCACTCATTATGTTTTAGGTTCCGGTCATCACTCCCACCTCTCCTTTTGAAAATGCTTAAAAGATGCTGCAAATAATTGAAATACAAGACAAAGAGCTAAATGCAAGAGAAAGCAACGTTATAGCATTGTACTTTTGATCATCTTTTTCTTAGTAGGACATTATACTTTGAAAAATCTACCCAATTATAACTTTTAAAATGCTTTGTATAATTGGGTAGATTTTTTAAGCATAAGGATATTATAATAGGAAGAAATAAAGGAAGGATGCTATAATAGGCAAATCCATGAAAGTATGGTGCTATTTATTTTATTTTTGCATTTATCCCTAAGACAAACGATAGAAACCAAATATATAGTAGAACAAAATTTCTGCAAGAGAATACCTCCTCATAAGAATAAGAGCTAGATGTGTCCGAGTTTGGAAACCTTAGTTGCTGCTGTCTGATGTCATACTGGAAAAAAAGAGGTAAGATGATTATAAACCACCTAAAGAACAAAACCACAAATAACAAAAGTACCTTGTCATTTTGAGACGTGTGTTCAGAGTTCAAAAATCTCTTGTGTGTCATTTCCTTTAACCTTTGCTGTACATCAGAAGGCTCAAGTGATGATGCATAATGCTGTTTCATATATAGGACATCTTTTCCGCCCATTTTTACACCCACAATTATATGAGTGCCAAATTTTTCAATAAACCTGGAAGAATATACAGAACAAGGAAGATGGATAAATACTTTTATCAGAGTTTATATAGACAGATGAAAGTTTAAGGGCATCCAAATCTTACTTCAAGGAAGAAAACAATCTTTAGCTTTAAAAGTTTTAAGGGTATGAAAATTGAAAAGGTCTGCACCTCACCTTGCTAACAAAGCAGGCTCCCATTTAGATGGAACAGCTTTCTTAACATGATCACAAAGAACCATGTGAGATTCTTCTAATGCAATGGTGTACAAAGAGATGAAAACACCATCAAAAGCTAGGGTTTTAGCAGTCGATGCATCTTCCGGCCAATTTCCAGAAAACTCAAACATGGAATTGAAATGGCCTGAAGGAATTTTGCCTGATAATGATAATTCCTGATTGAATTGCTCCGACATCTTGCATATAAAAAGAATGCAGAAACTTACCCACCATTTACATTTTTCATGCTTAACAGTTGTATAGCAATTAATTAATGTTGATTTTTTATACACATTACATACGGATTGTAGGTACTGAAAGGAAGATTTATCAAAGCACGAAAACAGTAAAACTATCCATACCAGCCGAAAAGAAAGAACATCAGAATGAAGTCGTGTATGCTCGCCTTCATCACATTTGATGGATCCGGGAACATTGAGGAGTAGAAGCCCACCAGGAAGCACAATGTCTCTGCCTTCATCCTCCTCAATTTCTATCAAACGGCAATTTCGATATGGATTATTACCAACATCTGAAAGATAACGACGTTTGCGATCGTTAAGCCTCAGATCCAACGAGATATCATAACCACATCCAATTGACTGAATCGCAACATTTGCAGCTTCAGCAGCTGGCAGCTTAAGTGCCATTGTTAACTTCAATCTCTCAAAATGAATACCAACTTAATCAACAATTGCATCTCAGCCACAACCGGCGACGATCAATTCTTCTGTAACACTTCCCAAACTTTGTTCTGCTGATTCCATTCTAGATACAAACCCCAGATGGTAGAGCTGGATGTAAGATCTACGAAGTGATTCAGGAAATTTGATAAAATTACTCTGTCACTGGAAACAGGGATCCACCGTCCACCTTCCTCTCTCACTAGTCACTCTGGCGACCACCGTTGACCCCATTCTCATTTCTGCCTCTACCAAACTTGTCATCGTTGCCACTGCCATCTCCAAACTCGTTATTGTCAACATCAAGCAATGGAGCTAGTATCTGAGGAGATTGGACGCGAGTACATAGCCTCAGTGAAAGTCATTGACGGAGCTGCTCCATGGATGGCTGGCTCAGTGGCTTGGCCATGAAATCACACTAAAAGATCTTCCAACTGGACAAGTAAAAGGAAGAGAGCAAAACAGTAAGTTATTCTATAATGATGACTAGGTAGTGTTGACTATTCAACACGTACTCACATACTATGCAATTTTGTGCGATCATGATATCTCACCAGATCCACATCTAACCTTACCCACACAATTTCATGGAAGCCTCACCTCCTGCACTTGCAATTGCTTCCATCATTTCGATTTCAGTTTTGTAATCACTATTGGATCAGCAAAGAATGGAAGCCTTTCTGGGAGAGACTCGACACCTTAAATCAAACTGGAACAGGTAAAATCAGCTACCAAGAACTTTGATAACAACAATGTTATTAGAAAAGGTGGATTTGGGAACGTGTACAAAGGATTACTCTCTTACTCTGAAGGGAAAACCATGGTTGCTTTTAAGCATCTAGATCGTAAGCATGGGCAAGGAAATCCTGAGTTCTTGAAAGAGATCCTGATGCTTTCCCGTTACACACATGAAAATCTCATCTCTCTGTTAGAATTTTGTGATGAAGATGGTGAGAAGATCCTTGTCTATGAGCATGCATATCATGGAAGCCTAGATCGCCACTTAAGTGCTAATGCTCTCACATGGTTGAAACGTCTCAAGATATGCCTCACAGCTGCAAGGGGACTCTGCTACCTTCATGATCCCAAAGGAACTGAACAAAGAGATATCCATCGGGATATAAAAAGTGCCAATATTCTACTGGATAAGAGTTCGAACGCTAAACAACGATAATACTGCACCATTATGTTGGAGATTCAAAATGCATGCAAAGCACAATTTTTGTCACCACATAGCACATACGCAGTAAACCTTGTGTTTGGTATTGACTATGAAAGTATGGACCTTTTATTCTTTAATTACAAATTGGCTGAGGAGACATACTATTCGACTTCATACATAGCAGATGAGAGAGAAGATGGATGGTTCACGACTGAATTGTATCAGTTTACTAGCACCAAGAGAAGTGCTGATTTTGATATCACTTTTGATCATCGAGGACATCCATTGATACTTGAAGGCATCGAGTTCCAGCCTGTTGAGAGAGTAAGACAACAAATATTGATTTCTTCATTTATAGATCATTTTGTTTATGTGTAAGTTTTATTCATATAGGTGGATCATCAAGTGTTAGTGGAAGAGGAGGTGGATATGCCAGACACATATCGGGAACAAAAGTTGCCAAGTGATTATGAAGACGTACTCAAGTCATCAAAAGATAGTCATGTGCAATGGACAACAAAGAAACACCTCTACTTTGTTCTTTGCAAAGGGTTCCGAATCAATAATGGTGAAGAGGTATATCCGATATAAATGATTCAATCCTGCCATTTTTAAGATATTCATAAACATAATTTAGTTCTTGTCATTTGTCAAGCATATGAACAAGGTTCTAGCTACTAGAATTTCAAAACAAGTACTAACACAGTTCACAGTAAAGAAATGTCATATGCTCCCAGCAAGTATGCATGGCTTTGCGAAAATTAGAGTGGAGTTGGGGGCCTTCATGGGAATCCAACCAGTTACCTAAAAATGACTTAATACTCTAAAATCATCAATATTCTTTAACCATTTCGGTTCAAACACAAAATGTCTTGTTTCAGAATTCAGATTTAAAGAAGTGGCTTTTTGTACTCAACGATCCTTTTCAATAACTTGCACTTTCAAAATGTTGTCACCTCATACAAGATACGCATGCTTTCTTGTTTACAAATTACAACATACAAACCAAGAACCCTAACGTTAGGCAAGTTGTGTATATATATATATATATATATATATATATATATATATATATATATATATATATAATATGGTGATACTCAATATATTAATGCAAATGTTTCAATGATCATTCCATTAAAGGAAAATCTCAAGTTGATTAGTCAATTTATTCGAAGCTGACAAGGTTGTATAGTAAATTAAAGATTTTCACATTTCAACCAGAGTCGATCATCCTAAGCTGAACAATTTTCTTGTCTAAAGATTTACTCAAACTGACTAGGTTCATCATAAAAGAATATCAAGTCAGTTCCATGCAGTTTCATGATGCTCAAAGTAGTTGATTGGAACCTACATGTAGTGATGGTAGAATTTGACTAAGTAAGATGATTAGCTACTGTGTGACTGGCAATTGAACCTGAGAACATTATAAATGAACTATGAAACCATCAAGAATATGTAGGAATTTAGCTAATTGAGACTTGTTTGATGCTAGTCAATTAGTATGTTAACAATAGACACATATGGTTGAAAAAACGCGGGGTTGGCAATTATTAAAAGCAAAAGAAAACATAAAACTGGAAATTTTGTAATAACTATGACTTTTATGATATACTTGTACCCCTTTGTTAATATGGCGTACACCACCCTATGTAAATAATGTTTTAAAATGAAAATTTTTGGGTGTACTTTTAGTTTTGGGGTTTATCAAAACTTGTGTTCCTCCTAATGCAATATGTAATTATGACTTGTTCTTGTCCTTTTGCTGCAAGTGCATTTCAAGAAACATATCTATGTACATATGAATTGTTAGTTCTTCATCTCCTATCAAATAGATGTTAAGTTTATGGAGTCTTGAATAAATTGACAGGTTCCTAAGAATTCAAGGGCCATAAATAAAACTTGTAAATTAAAACAATTGAATATTGAATTGGACACACTATCAATTGTTTAATAATATTGAAGTGGACGGCGGCTCTATTTTGGACGGCTAAAGAAATCAACGCATTCTTTTTTTCAAACTTTGCGGCATATATATATTCTAGTCAAATATAGCGGCAATTTGTGTAAACAAAAGAAAAAGGTTTACGGCTCTCTCCTATATATATATATATATATATATATATATATATATATATATATATATATATATATATATATATATATATATATATATATATGAATTGTAAGAAGAGCGATGTAGCGTAGAACAACAAAAGTGCTGAGTGATATTACCATTTGTAATCTTATAGTGAGTTAATATAAAATCTAGTTGCGCCCGTGGACGTAGGATTTACACCGAATCCGAACCACGTAAAATCCTTGTGTTCCTTCTTGCTTTATTTCCTTCGTGTGTTTGTGTGTGTGATAGTGTGTTTCCGCTGCGTGTACCCGGTCCGATTCCTAACAACTGGTATCAGAGCCTGGTTAGCGAGGTTTGGAGGGTACGATCGTTTTTTTTATCACGCACGAGTGTACCTGATTTGTATCTTGTTTGTCGTAATGGCTGAAGACAAGATTATAATCGAAAGGTTCAATGGTTCTGATTTTAGCTGGTGGAAAATGCAATTAGAAGCATTGCTATGTCAGAAAGACTTGGACATGGTACTCGGAGACAAACCGGAGAAAATGGAAAAAGCTGTTGAAGATGCGTGGAACTCAAAGGACAAGAAAGCCAAGGCGGTTATTACATTGTCGTTGACGAAGAGCGTTGCTTTCAACATCATGAATGAAACCACGGCACGTGGTATGATGGAGGCTCTGTCAAATATGTATGAGAAACCATCGGCGGCTAACAAGGTGTTCTTAATGAAGGAGTTGTTCACTACAAGGATGAATGAGGAAGGCTCAGTTACGGTTCACATTAACAATCTAAATTCAATTCTGTCCAGATTATCATCTGTGGGAATTAAATTTGATAATGAGACTCAAGCTTCGCTGCTACTAGCTTCTCTACCTGATAGCTGGTCCGGAACAGTTACTGCTGTTACGAGTTCCGTGGGGACCAGTGGTATGACTTTTGAAGGGGTTAGAGATTTGGTTCTTGGCGAAGATATCAGACGCAAGAATCAAGGTGGATCTTCTTCTTCTGAGTTATTAAATATCGGAAGAGGGAGAGGGAATAGCAGGAATAGTGGAAGCAGTGGGAGTCGGGGAAGAAGTTCATCTAGAACTAGGAAGAATGTGAAGTGCTGGAACTGCCAGGAGGTGGGACATGTTAAGAGTCAATGTCCAAAGAAAGAATTAAACATTGCCGGTGCTGAGAGTGTGTCTGAGGATGATGCATTGTTACTCAGTATGGAAAGTTCTGTAGACTCTTGGGTCATGGATTCAGGGGCTTCGTTTCACGCCATGGACAACGGGGAAACGATGGTGAATCTAAAAGAAGGAGATTTTGGAAAGGTACGTTTGGCAAATGACGAGATGCTTCAGGTAACAGGCATGGGAGATATTGATTTGGTTACTTCATTGGGAACTACATGGAGCCTGAAGGATATCAGGGTGATTCCGGAGCTGAAGAAGAAATTGATTTCTGTTGGTCAGCTGGATAAACAAGGACTGGAAGTAAGGTTTGGTAGTGGTAAATGGAGGGTGGTCAATGGTGATCTGGTGATTGCTCGTGGTATGAAGTGTGGGTCATTGTATATGGTTGAGGTACCTGCTGAGGGAAGTATGACCGTCCCTGTTAAACAAGACAAAATCTGGTTCGCTAAATCTACGGCTAAGAGAGTTCATTTTGCAAACATGAATTCTGGAGCCAAAGAGATGTTAGCTGAACGAGTTCGAAAGTCTAAACCATTCAGGGGATTCTGTGACAGTGGGAGCACGGGACGTGTTTCGGGTACAGTTACAAAGAGCCGTTGGGTTTTGAAGACTAAGACTGAAAAATTCTCTCCTGTTGAATGTTTGCAAAGTTGGGAGAGTGTTAGTGGTCCTCGGTGTATCTCTGGATCTGGTGGAGTGTCCAAACCGGTTGAGACAGAGGATGAGTTGGTGGCGGGATTAGCCACGGCTGAGTTGGAGCTAGTGGGAGCTTCAACTGGCCCTTCTAGTATTTGATGATGAGGGGCGGCTGCAACTAGAGAAATCAGACTAAGTTTTAGCTTGTTCTTTGGAACTGGAAGCCTAAAAGGACTTGGTTGTTTTTTAAGATTACTGGAGTAATTGAGAGTTGAATGGCGGAGAAAAGCTAAAGTTGTTCAAGCCTCCAAGTGGGAGATTGTTAAGATTTATGGAGTCTTGAATAAATTGACAAGTTCCTAAGAATTCAAGGGCCATAAATGAAACTTGTAAATTAAAACAATTGAATATTGAATTGGACGCACTATCAATTGTTTAATAATATTGAAGTGGACGGCGGCTCTATTTTGGACGGCTAAAGAAATCAACGCATTCTTTTTTTCAAACTTTGCGGCATATATATATTCTAGTCAAATATAGCGGCAATTTGTGTAAACAAAAGAAAAAGGCTTACGGCTCTCTCCTATATATATATATATATATATATATATATATATATATATATATATATATATGAATTGTAAGAAGAGCGATGTAGCGTAGAACAACAAAAGTGTTGAGTGATATTACCATTTGTAATCTTATAGTGAGTTAATATAAAATCTAGTTGCGCCCGTGGACGTAGGATTTACACCGAATCCGAACCACGTAAAATCCTTGTGTTCCTTCTTGCTTTATTTCCTTCGTGTGTTTGTGTGTGTGATAGTGTGTTTCCGCTGCGTGTACCCGGTCCGATTCCTAACAATAGAAGGATAAATATGCAATCCATTTGAAAATTTTGCATTTTAAAAAGCGTATATGTGTATGTAGAAATTAGTACACCCAAACAAATCGTTTTGAGTTCTTTACAATCACGATGAACCTCATAACTTGACATTTCGTTTCACTAGTGACAAAATTATGTAGCTTGTTACTCTTGAAAACATTATATTACCATGACATCTCCAAGCACGAGTTCAGAACGACCTAAAACATCACCTAATCGGACACATCTTCATCGAATAACATTCGAGCAAAGAGTACTTAACTTCAAGAGAGATCTTTTGATGTAATATAAGAAGAGAATTATTTTTCTTCTCCACAACAAGTCTAGCTCCTGAGACAACCCAATACCCGGGGCTCTCTTGTGGGCCCCGTTTCACCTCTGTTGTGTCCACACGATGTAATAGCTTCTGCATCTTCTTCATATGGACCACAAGCTTCGGTTCATGGAGTGGGGCGTGAGTGGTTTGAAACTGTTGTGGGAGGACCACCTCCATGAAAGGAATTGAAGATTCCGCTTTCTGGGCTGGAGACACATCCCATTCTGGATTCTTGTTTGCAGTGCAACCGAGTACTTTTGAGAATGTTGGTTGGAAAGCCTCAAATCTCACACTCTAAACTTTCGTATATAATGAACTTGGAGAAGAGAACAAAAGACTTTCAAATATGAAGTATAAATGGTGTACTTTAAAGTTGCAGAAAAGGTAGACACTGAAGACTTCCTTTATTCATCAACTCTAAAGGCTTTAAATAGCCTACCGACTACAACGTGCAACACAAAAGTAGGAATAAAAGACTCCTATTTTTACTACACCTAAAGACCCATTCTCTAACGTATACCTCCTTGCAAATCGGTCAAAGGAGTATTACCAATTCTAAACTAATAAAATCAATAACTAAAGACATAAAACTTAAACTAAATTTTCTTTATTCCAATACCCAACTGCATGTCACGTGAATATGGTAAATGAGCCAATTAATTCCAACAATCACCCCTTAATTGGCTATTTACCAATTCTATTCACAATAATGCTGGTTCGTCTTCGATCAAATTAGCTTCTTCTTTCTCCCACTTAGGACATTCGTTATTGAAGTGGCCAAGTTCACCACACTTGTAACATTTCACGTGGCTTTTATCCCGGTAACGCTCATTGCCATCTCGACCATTCACGGACCCACGACCTCTTCCCCGGCCACGTCCAAAGCCATTCCGACTTGAGCCTCCGTTACCACAATGCTTACATACGTGCGGTTTTTCTTCACTAGCCAAAAGTAAACCGCCTTGAATGCCTTCGGTTTTCTCCGTCCTTTTTAAACGCTCCTCGTAAGCCTTTAGTCTTCCAACGGCTTCATCGAAAAGCATTGACTCCAAATCAAAACATTGCTCGATTGAAGCCACAATTTGGAGAAATGACTTAGGCATTGAATCAAGCAATCTTTTCACCAAATCAACTTCTTCAAGCTCGTAACCGAGAGATCTTGCTTTTGAGGCTAGACCAGTCAATTTTGACACAAACTCATCCACTGTTTCGCCATCATTCATACGCAAGCTTTCAAGCTCCCTCTTCAATGTTGCAAGCCGAGCCGCTCTCACCCGATCCACACCCAAATAGCGAGTCTTCAATCCATCCCACACCTGTTTTGGATCGGTGTAATCAGCCATTTGCAAGACCATGTCTTCCGGTATAGCTTGAAACAAGAAAGCAAGAGCTTGTTTCTTCTTCTTTGGATCCGAATCTTCATGCAATTGTCTCGGTTCCACTGTTTCCCATATACCATGAGCATCCATAATTGATTTGATTTTGACTGCCCACACCGGATAATTCGTCGAGGTCAAGACCGGAACTTGGTATGACATCGAACTTCCTTCTCTAGGTACCAAGGCCATTTTTTACTGTGAGTTGTGACAGCACCAACCTTTTCCGATCAAATCTGTCTTGAGACTCCTCTTCCACCAGTCAAGAAAACCAAACGCCTGTTTCTTCTGTTTTCTTTACCCGCAAAGAAGCCAAACCAAAAACCCCACCCGTTCTGATTTTTTCTGCTTGTCTTTCCGCTTCTGGTTAGGCTTCTAGAACAGATTTGATCAAGGAAGGATGCTGCACCCTTTTTTTTTGCAATCAAGAACCACTCAAACCCTCAACCGAGCCTGGGGCTCTGATACCAAATGTTGGTTGGAAAGCCTCAAATCTCACACTCTAAACTTTCGTATATAATGAACTTGGAGAAGAGAACAAAAGACTTTCAAATATGAAGTATAAATGGTGTACTTTAAAGTTGCAGAAAAGGTAGACACTGAAGACTTCCTTTATTCATCAACTCTAAAGGCTTTAAATAGCCTACCGACTACAACGTGCAACACAAAAGTAGGAATAAAAGACTCCTATTTTTACTACACCTAAAGACCCATTCTCTAACGTATACCTCCTTGCAAATCGGTCAAAGGAGTATTACCAATTCTAAACTAATAAAATCAATAACTAAAGACATAAAACTTAAACTAAATTTTCTTTATTCCAATACCCAACTGCATGTCACGTGAATATGGTAAATGAGCCAATTAATTCCAACAGAGAACTGGAGGCGTAAGAAGAGGACTTTTTTGGACCTATGATTCCCGACTTGTAACTGGGCTCCGGTTACGATTGAGAATTTGTCTTCGGACTCAACCGGGGCAGTGCAGATGTGGTCATAGCTAATCGCTTGGAGCCGTTCATAGTATTTGGGATCGTCGGAATCAGAATTGAAGATTCTGGTTACCGAGTCTTCTAGTTGGAAGAATTTTGGGGGAGAGGAGAGGTGTTGTAGGTGGATCTCTAATTGATTGTTTCTATCACGATTGAGGTGAAGTCGGAGGCCCGTTATGGGCATCTTACCTACATCGACCTATTTATTGTTATTGTCAACATCAAGCAATGGAGCCTCATTGAAAGTCAATGAAAGTCATAGGGCGGCTGAAAGTTATTCTATAATGTATTCAGGGCTGTTTGGAGGGCCAAAAGTTTTTTTTTTAAAAAGATAAAATACAAAAATGTTTGGTAAAAGTATTTTAAAAACAACTTTTGGATTTTTTATAAAGGAAAACTAACTTTTTGGAAAAGTCAAAGTCAGGAAATCCTAACTTTTTGAAACTTTTGCCAAAAGATTTTGCCTCCAAAAAAATTAGCCAAACACCCGATGGCCAGGTAGTGTTGACTATTCAACACGTTGACTAACATACAATTCCACCAGATGCACATCTCACCAAACCCACACAATTTCATGGAAGCCTCGCCTCCTGCACTTGCATTTGCTTCCATCATTTCGATTTCAGTTTTGTAATTACGATCTGATCAACAAACAATGGAGGCCTTTCTGGGAGAGAATCAACATCTTAAAATCAAACTGGAAGAGATAAAATCAGCTACCAACAACTTTGATAACAACAACGTTATTGGAAAAGGTGGATTTGGGAACGTGTACAAAGGAGTACTCTCTCACTCTGAAGGGCTAACCATGGTTGCTTTTAAGCGTCTAGATCGTAAGCTTGGGCAAGGAAACCCTGAGTTCTTGAAAGAGATCCTGATGCTTTCCCGTTACACACATGAAAACCTCATCTCTCTTCTGGGATTTTGTGATGAAGATGATGAGAAGATCCTTGTGTATGAGCATGCATATCACGGAAGCCTAGATCGCCATTTAAGTGCCAATACCCTCACATGGTGGAAACGTCTCAAGATATGCCTCACAGCTGCAAAGGGACTCTGCTACCTTCATGATCCTAAAGGGACAGAACAAAGAGTTATCCATCGAGATATTAAAAGTTCAAATATTCTACTGGATGAGAGTTGGAATGCTAAACTTTCTGACATGGGTTTATCGAAAATAGGTCCTGCTAATCAGCAACACAGCTTTCTTACTACCAATGTTGTAGGTACCTATGGGTATATAGATCCTCTGTATATGGAGACTTACCTCCTAACGAAAGAGTCGGATGTATACTCATTTGGCATGGTTTTGTTCGAAGTGTTGTGTGGGAGACTCTGCTATGAATATAACAATGGTCATTTTATGAGCTTGTGGCCAATGTGGAAAAAAAGCTATGAAGAGAAGAAACTAGATCAGATTATCTTTGAAGACCTGAAGGAACATATGAATCCGAGTTCATTGGAAACATTTTCAGGCATTGCTTATCGATGTTTGCAGAAATCTCGTGAAGAACGTCCAAAGATGTCTGATGTTGTGGAAGAACTTGAGATTGCACTTGATATTCAAAAGACAGAAGGACCAATGGACTTTGAAGAGATGATTGAAACTGCAGTAGCTCCTCATGTCTACAAATCCAAAGAGGAACTACAGATGCTTCTCTACAAAGGAATGTTGGTTAATGGGGGCAAAACGGTAATTAGCTAGCTCTATCAAAATTGTGAATTATAAACTGCTAATTTAAGGAATTTATATGATTAAAACCAAATAGTATACATTTCAACTACGATGCATTTGGCCACAAACAACAACAAATAGTGATTTCTGAAATGTACTCATATCCTAACTTGATGTCTTTTAACGAACAGTGGTTTTCATTAAACAAGAATGGTGAACATTGTGAAATGATATCCGCAAAAGTATGTTTGATTCCTATTCTCCCTGCATCTCCCAGATATGCATACAATGGTCTACATAAATCAAGGTTAGTTGTCATCTTCCTTTATGATTCTAGCTTTTTAGAATATTCATGAGTATATAATATTAATTGTATCCATTGCTGCATCTTCCTGCAGATTTCCATTAGACAACGAAAATACGACACCATTATGTTGGAGATTCAAAATGCATGTCAAAGCACAATTTTTGTCACCACATATCACATACGCAGTCAACCTTGTGTTCGGTGTTGACTATGAAAGTATGGACCTTTTGTTCCTCAATTACAAATTGGCTGAGGAGACATGCTATTCAACTTCATACATAGCAGATGAGAGAGAAGATGGATGGTTCACGACTGAATTGTATCAGTTTACCAGCCTCAAGAAAAGTGCAGATTTTGATATAACTTTTGATTGCGGAGGACATCCGTTGATTGTAGAAGCCATCGAGTTCCAGCCCATCGAGAGAGTAAGCCAGCCAACAAATTCTGGTTTATTCCTCTAGATCAATTTTTTTATGTTTTTCTTGTGTTTCAAACATTCTTGGAATATAAAGTGTAAGTTTTATTATAGGTGGATCATCATCAACTCTTAGAGGATGAGAAGGTGGATATGCCAGAGACATATTGGGAACAAAGGTTGCCAAGTGATTATGAAGATATACTCAAGTCGTACAAAAATAGTGCGCAATGGACAACAAAGAAGGAACTCTACTCTATTCTTTGTAAAGGGTTCCCAATCAATAATGGTGAAGAGGTATATCTGATATGAATGATTCAATCCTATCATGTTATTATTTTTTAAGATATTCATAAACACAATGTAGCTGTTGTCATTTGTTACGCTTATGAACATGGTTCTAGCTACTATAATTTCAAAAGTACTTAATTACACGTTTATGGTTTCACAGTGGTTCTCACTTGCAAACAATGGGAAGAAATGTCATATGCTTCCAGCAAGAATGGCTTTGAGAAAATTAGTGTGGAGATGGGGGCCTTCACGTGAATCAAGGTGGGAATCCACTCGTATAAATTCCAGTTACCTAAAATGACTTAATGACATTAACATTCTTCAACCATTTCTAGTAAAACACAATATGTCTTGTTGCAGATTTAAAGAAGTGGCTTTTTGTACTCAACAATCCTTTTCAATAACCTGCACATCCAAAATGTTGTCACCTCAGACAAGATACGCATGCTTTCTTGTTTACAACATACAAACCAAGAACCCTAACGTTGGGCAAGTTGTGGAAGTGAGTGATCAGAGTCGTATCACAGAGAGTGGAGAGTATGATCCACATCATATCCTTTTATTTTTGCCTGAGACCCCAATTATTAGACAAAAGGTTAATGACAACACCCACATACACAACCCATTAAAGAGAACCAAAATGGAAGGTGTTCCACAACGCAGGAATGATGGTTGGTTGGAAGTGCAAGTATGGAAATGCCAAACTGGTGCTACTACTAGTGAAAATCCTTTGTTTGATCTTTATTTCAACCTTAGGTCTTTTTCGAGGATTACAGAGCTTAGTGTGCAAGGCATTGAGTTTAAAGCCATATAGGTTTTTTTTTTATGATTAGAATTAGAATTTGGAAATGAATTGAATTTAACGGTTCAATTTTAAGCATATATCACACAAGATATCTTGAAAATATTTTTTATCTTATAGATTAGGAAACTTGTTGTATGTAATTATCTTTCCTAATTTCTTATATCTTTATGTCTATAAAATATGAGAAATAAAATATCCTCCTACCTTTTGTTTCTACTTTTCTTCCTACAAACATCTCAATCAAATTTAAACTAAATTTAATGACACTTGTCACCAGGGCCGGTCCTGAGGATTCAAATGCCCAGGACGAACCGGAAAAAAAAGGCCCTTATACCCGAACGTGTAATGAAATAATTATATAAACTAAAGTTTATATATATATATATATATATATATATAAGAAATTTAAATTAAAGGCTGAATTGTCATAAAGAAAAACTAAAAAATAAATTAAATTAATAAACAAAATGACAAGTATAAATTTATAAAAGTTGAGGGCTAAATATCGAATTTTTGGAAATTTATTTAGCAAAGAGAATTGATACAAAGGATAAATTGTTAAGTATGTATCATAAATGAAGAGTAGAAATTGTAACTTGGAATATCAATGATATCAATCTGTAAGGGAATGAAAATAAGCCCACGTTAAAAAGCTACAATTGATCTTGGAAAGAATCGAACCCGTGTGGATTGAATTTAAATAAGCGCGTTTTAACCGGCTGAACCAAAAAACATTTGTGTTAAAAATCTGAAAACATAATATATATTAGTATGTTAATTATATAATTTTGAAAAACTCGGGCCCTATTTTTTTCAGGGCCCTGTGCGGCTGCCCACCTTGCCCTCCCTTAGATCCGGGCCTGCTTGTCACCATCTAAAATAGGTAGGAAGATAGTAGGAACAAAAAGTAGTAGGATATTTAATTTCTCATAAAATATTAATATAAGATTCTCCACAAGTGTGGTGATTTCTATCCAACCTTACATGGTATCGGCCTAACTTGATCCTCCCCTTTTCCCTAATCGTTGTTGCCCGCCTCCTCTTTAACATGGCACCCCCCCCCCCCACGCTTATTTTATATGGCGTAATCGGATCTTGCCACTCCTTTCCTACCAAAAGCTTACACATTATATATATGATGGCACCATTCTTCCGCCTCCTCTTATTTTTGGGGTCCACACCAATCCCACCACAAATCATGTTATATTGATGGCGTCGTTCTTCCGCCTTCCCCAGTCTTCTCTCTCTAAATGATCCGTGGTTGAGACTCTCGGCCTCAAAAATGTTTGTGAGGTTTGGTTTGCCCTCGATAACGCCTACAACCAGGAGTCTATTAAATGGATGCATATTTTGTGTGATTCTTTGGGTCGTCTTCAAAAAGGTAACATGTTCGTCTATTGACATAATCCAAATTTAGCATCCTTTATTTTACTGCACGTTTTTTTGTTTTATTGTTTGCTTTTTTTACTTAGTCTAGAAGTTGAATAAGTCGAAGGTAGTGGTCCTTGGTTTCATGTGACTTGGTGGAATAGGTAGTTGTGTTCTCCTCTCTTTAGGCTTCTATTGTTTTGTTGTAAATATGGAAGGCAAATGTGTACGTTATATGATCTCTCATTTTCACCTTTATGAATAAAAGTGCATAATTGCCCCACCTACGTATCTCTTTTTCTGCTTCCCATTATTAACCACTAAACAAAGGTTGTATTTGTTGGGTAAAAGCTAACATTTTGTATCAGAGCACAACCTAGAGCACAACCCGGTGCATGCCCAAATACCAACCTCGTGAGATAGAGATGACAGGAAACGACAAGAATGAGAAGGATGGGCATATCACACTCCACTACCATATGCTGTCAAAAAACAACTATGATGTTTGGGCTATAAAAATGAAGGTGTTCATGCAAGCCCAAGGAGTTTGGGATGCAGTCGAGCCCAGAACATCAAATATTATTATAGAAGTGAAGAAAGGTAAGATGGCTTTGGCAGCCATCTACCAAGGCATTCCAGAAGACATGTTGTTGTCGTTAGCGGAGAAGCAAACAACAAAAGAATCATAGGATCCGTTGAAGGCCAGATTCTTGGGGGCAGATAGATTCTTAGGGGCAGATAGAGTAAAGACAACAAGAATCCAAACATTGAAGGTTGAGTTTGAAGTTTTAAGCATGAAAGATTCAAAGGTTGTAGATGAATTTGCTGTGAAAGTGAGTAACATAGTAAGCAACATTTGTACCTTTGGTGAAACTGTTGAAGAGTCGTATGTGGTGAAGAAGCTACTACGGGCGGTGTCATCCAAATTTCTTCAGATTGCTTCAACACTTGAGCAATTTGGTGATCTGGAAGAGATGACAGTTGAGGAGGTGATAGGAAGGTTAAAGGCTCATGAAGAAAGAATGTGGGGTCATGGTGAAATTGATGACAGGAAGCTTCTCTTGACTCATCAAGAATGGTCTGATAGAAGTAAGAAAAAGACAGGAGATGATTCAAGATCCAGTTACAAAGGAAATCGTAATGGGTCTAGTTCTACAAGAGGATGAGGTAGAGATCACGGAAGAGGAGGCAACTTTGGTGGTCGCAGTGGTCGTGGCAGAGGTAACTTTCACCAACAGAAAGATGAAAATCGTGGTTCATCTAGTAGTCAAGACAAGATTAAAGTGCAATGTTACAACTGTCAAGATTCCGGACATTATGTTGCAGGATGCAAAAACCCAAGGCATGAGAGAATCCAAGAGAACAACTTGATTCAAGAACACAATGACAACGAACCAGCACTTCTACTCATGTCATTTAATGCAAGTGAGTAGATTGGTGAAGTATTATTAAATGAAGAAAAGGTGCACCCTCGACTGAGGAAAAATGGTGATCAAGAAAATAAGTCAAGCATGTGGTATCTTGATACAGGAGCCAGCAACCATATGACTGGTGATAGGTACAAGTTTTGTGACCTAAACAAGATGATTCAAGAATACGTGAAGTTTGGAAATAGGTTTAAAGTTCGAATTGAAGGAAGAGGGTCGATAGTCTTTCAATGCAAGAATGGTGAAGAACGCATGTTTCGGGATGTTTACAACATACCAGATTTGTGTAGTAACATAATCAGTCTTAGTCAATTAATAGAAAGTGGAGATCAGATTCAGATTCGATATGATTTCCTATGGGTTTGTGATGCATCTGGAAAGTTACTTATAAAGGCCAGGAGGTCTCCAAATCGACTATACAAGATTGAACTCAAAGAAATCATGTCAAGATGTTTGCTTGCAGAAAATACTGATCCTATGAGGTTGTGGCACACGAAAATGGGTCATGTAAACTTTGGTGCACTCAAGTACATGGTTGATAAGAAGTTGGTTGAAGATATGCCAAATATAGACATTCTTTCAGAGCCTTGTGGAGGGTGTATAGTAAGGAAGCAGACCAGAAATCCCTTCCCTTCACACACCAATTTCAGAGCAAAAGGAAGCTAGAACTCGTTCATGGAGATTTGTGTGGACCAATCTCGCCTCCTACACATGTTGGTTACAGGTATTTCATGTTGTTGGTTGATGATTACAGCAGAGTTATGTGGGTTTATCCGATGAAGACAAAATATGAAACCTTTCAAGTGTTCAAGATATAACATCCCAAAATCACAATAAAAATTTTCATTTTTAACTAAAGATAAATCATTATTTTCAATCAAACCCAAGTCATAAGAACCCAAGGTCAAGTACAAATGTTCCAAAATCAATGTCTCATAACATCTCCAAAACATATAACCAAAGGATGTGTACGATCACGCCTTTGCTTTCCCCCGACAATCTAAAGCACCTGAAACATAAAACTTAAATTGTAAGCCATAGCTTAGTGAGTTCCCCCAAAATACCTCACACAACCAATACAGATAACAACATGCATATATGAGCCTTTAGCCTGACTGAATCGCCTCGCATGACCTACATCCTATCTGGACCGCTCCCCAAGCCTTCGTCCTGATTGGACCGCCTTGCAGGCCTTCAGTCTATCCGGACCGCCCCGGTTATCTTGGCCTTCAGCACAAAGCAGGACCGCCTCAACCCAACAAACCATAACATGTCGACACACACAATAACAATCAATAACCAGCAACACATGTAATCATACATATCTACCAATCCAATGCATACTCAATGAACACGGGTAATCATACAGGTCTACCAATCTAACAGGTACTCAGCATAACATTAATCCAATATACCAGGATACATAATCCAGTGGGCCGGCATTGGTGCCTTCGACCCACAAGTACAATGAGGAAAACTCACCTCACAGTCTGAAAGGTAGCAGAAATGAATGCTGCTCCGAAAGCCAACTCTACAGGTCACCTATACAACAAACAGTAACTTAATCTCAATCTACTACTCACAATACCCAAAATACCCCTGAGTTAAACTTGGTCAAATTCAACAGTCAAAATTCAAAGTCAACCCAGTTGGTCGCCATGTCGTGGCAGCAAAACGACAAAACAGTCGGCTCTAGCCCAGTCGTCATGCCGTGGTGTGACAACCCGAAATTTCTATCTTGTAAAGCCATTCAATTCAATCAAAAGTCAGACTTGTTTCTGCTATCTTCTAGCATTTTTAAGGGTCTGTTGAGTGTTCTAAGCCTAGTACATTTAAGGTTTAAGTGTTAGGAAGTATCTACTAGAGTTCATTGTGCAGCATTCAAGCCGGAAAACTCCATCACTTGGAGTTTACGGCCGTAAACTAGAGCTTACGGCCGTAAGCTCTTGTTTGGCCGTGAACTAGTCTCTTAAGTAAGATATTCCTTCATTTTTCTTCACTTATCACATTTCCAAGTCAAGAACACTCAATTCTCTCTCAAGTATCATCAAGAACACTTCCATTTCTCGTCAAATTTGTAAGTGATTCTTTCATTTATAAGTTGATATCCTTCTTGATCTAGTAAAACCCCATGATTTCATCCGTGAATTCATCTCTTTTGGGTTAGATCTTCAAGAACACACACTAGTTCTTTGGGCCGTGAACACCCCTTTTAGCTTCCAAATCGTAAGTATCCTTTCCATATACTTGATATTAATTAGAAGCTCATGTTTAGCATACAAGAAACAACCATTTTAGCAAGAACATCAAGAGTTTATGGTTGTAAATCCTTGCATGGCCATAAACCCTTCTCATGATCTCCCTTGGTCGTGAACATCATTGGTCGTGAACATCATGGGTCGT